CGAGTGCCCTAACCACCTGGCCATGCCAGCCCAGTAGATAGAAGCATATTATTATTGTTATGAATTTAAATTGAAATAAACATTATTTTTTGGAATTAGGTAGCTAATTTATTTAACTGATTACTTTAAAAATTATACAACGTGCTGTATTTTAGTTTTTTGGTAACTAGTTCAAAATATCAATATACAATGGTGCGAAAGTAAAATACTCTGTACAAGCATACGCATGAATTATCAACAATTTGATATCTCTCTGTTCTTGGGAAGGGTTTGTTTTTGTCACTTATACAATCAAAATAATTTCCGAAAACTTATTGTTTCTTCATTAATTTTCGGTTTTTATTTTCGCTTTAATGAACTTTTATAGATTTTACAAAAATACTTGTTCTTTAAGTGGTTCATCTTTACCTCTTCAACAACCTTTGTGTCAAATACTCACATCTGAATAATTCTGTATTCTGTGAACGGTTAGTCTGTGTCACCTTCATATACTTTACTGGGAATTACAGTGAACTTGATATTTCTGTATTCTGTGAACGGTTAGCCTGTGTCACCTTCATATACTTTACTGGGAATTACAGTGAACTTGATATTTCTGTATTCTGTGAACGGTTAGCCTGTGTCACCTTCATATACTTTACTGGGAATTACAGTGAACTTGATATTTCTGTATTCTGTTGTTGTTGTTTGTTATTAAGCACAAACTACACAAAGGGCTATCTGTGCTTTGCCCACCACGGGTATCGAAATCAGTTTTCTAGCGGTATAAGTTCGCCTGTATTCTGTGTACGGTTAGTCTTTGTCACTTTCGTATACTTCGCTGTGAATTACCACAAAGTTGGTACTTCTGTATTCTGTGAACGGTCAGTGTTTGTCACATCTGTAAACGTTCGTATTTTGTCACTCTGTCAAGGTTCATATTTATTACAAAGACTTTTAAGTTTTAAAGTTAAAAAAATACGATGAACGTTTAAAATTCAAAAAATGCCAAAATTAAAAGACACTTCATGTTTCAGTAACTTTACACTGTCGTCATTGGGATGTTAAAATTGTGTATTTCTAGTATGTGATTCGTTTATATCGCTTTTATCAGTGGCTATATATATCAGCAACAACTTTTTGTTTCTTATAAGCTATGTACAGGTAACTTTTTGATTACTTGTATCAACTTCCTCGTGAATTAGCACCAACACTTTGTTTTCATCACTAGCATGTTTCTTTAGTGTCACTTGTATTAACCGTCACATGAATTAGCGACGTACATTTTCTTTTAATCACTGGCATAACTTATCATAAACTTATGTTTCTTTAGTTAACTGTTCCTCTTTGTCACTTGTATCAATCGTCGTATGCATTAGCAACCTACACTTTAAACACTAACATAACTTATAATAACTTTAGCTAACTGTTCTTCTTTGTCACCTGTGTCAACTGTCGTATGAATTACCGATGTATCATTTGTTTTAGTCACTAGCATGACTTATGATAACCTTATGTTTCTTTACTTTAGTGCACTCTTCGTCTTTGTCACTTGTATCAACGACTTCATCTTTACACTTAGCGGTAAGATTTGTTGAATGTTTTACATCATTACTGCTCATCATCGGTTTTATCAATAAAACTGCTTAATGTTTTATACATTTTAAGTGATACTAGCTGTGTAGCTTAATGTTAGAGTTAAGTGTTTGTCTTATGCTTTTCAAGAAAATGAAACGATATGTGTTTGTATACTATAGATAAAAATTCGCCATCAGTGTACTGATGAACAATCACGATTTTTATAATTATAATCAGATCTTTTGTTTGTCCTTTTGTATGTTTTCACATGTTGGTTTCCTTATAAATTCAAATAATTAATGTCTAATTTAACTGTGTTGTCGGGGAAGCCGATAAACATCTATATATCTTTATTATTTACTTTGTTTAACGCAAACTGAAGTTTCTATCGAGACATTGTTATTACTGTAAGTAAACAACGACCTATATCTTCAGAATGTATCTATATGTTTTCTTGATAACAGTCTTTACAAAGTTTTGTCTAAAATAAAACTAGTTTTACTTCATAGTTTGTTTCGATGAGTAAAGTTTTATTTCTCTCATTTCATCCACAGACAAAAGAGAAACACGCCCAAGAGATCTCAAAGCTAAAGAAGGAATTGGACCAGGCAAATGAGAAAGTGGCTAATTTAACCACGCAACTGACAACGAATGTAAGTTACTGTGTGAGAACCTTACAGACGTAGTTGGAAACCAGTGTAAGTTAGAACATTAGTTCCTCAACCACGCAATTATTAACTAGTTTAGATTACCGTGTGAGAATCTTACAATCATAGCTGAAAACCAATGTAATTACCGTGTTAGTTCCTCAACCACGCAACTGGTAATCAATTTAAGTGTAAGTTGCTACATTAGTTTCTTAGCCACGCACCTGACAACCAATGTAAGTTACTGTGTGAGGACCTTACAAACGTAGTTGGAAAACAGTGTAAGTTAGCTCATTGACAACGCAACTGGTAGCCAATAGTAGATACTATGTAAATGAATACCTTAGTCACAAACTTAGAAACTAAGGGTTTGCTATGTTAAAACCTTAACAACATACCTCTCAACTAGTGTAAATTATTGTGTTGGTACCTGGACCACGCAGCTAACAAACTTTGTAATCACTAATCTAGCAATTATTGTAATATACTTTGTTCTTAGTTAAACCATACAGTTCACAACCAATATAAGCTGCTACTTCCGTACAATTTTCAAATTGTTGCTGTGTTAGACATTTAACAGTGTAATTGAAAACCAGTGTAAACTACTGTGGCCACGCAGCTAGCAACCATTGTTAGTACCACAAGCTGGCATAACAAGTTAACGTTCATGTGTATTCTTGCATGGTCTTTATAATATAAGTTCCTCGTAGAACCAGGATAATTTAATTTTTATTGTTGACATCGTAGCTTCCACCGTAAGGAGCTTATGTGAAGGACTGAGATTTCAATCTTAAGCCACACATCTTAAAATTTTTTCCACTGATCCTCCACTATACGTGGATGTAGACTTCCAAGACTACATTAAAACAGAACAAATTTGACACGCATATTGTCTGATGGGATTGCTATGATTTCAATTCCTTCGGCCATCTTTACTGTTAAATAACCGATGATTTTGAAGAGTACTGGAAGTTTGTGAGATTTTGCAAAGTTCAAATCTTTGTTTGTTATATTCTAACATTGTCAGAAGCTATGTCTTGCTTCATCGCAGTTGGGAACCAATGTAAGTTTGAACGTTAATTCCTTAACCACCCAAATGGTAACCAATGTGAGATACTATGGGAGAAGTGCAGCTAGAAACAAATGTAATTTGCTGGATTAGTTCTATTTTAAATATAGCGGATGACAGCGTTGGCCTGTATTGAATTGTGGTGTGTTTGGAAGTCCATTTCTGTCGTAAACTCTTCACTGTATGTGTCGTTCTTCCTCCACGGAGAAAATTGAAGGTTCTATTCTTTGAAATGTGATGCCCTTCAGCTGTGCATCATTTAACAACCTCACTGTAGGAAAGAGCTGTAACGTGCTTCTCTAATCATAAGTTTATCTTTGTGGCATTGCATTGTCGAATAGTCGGAATTCACCATGAGCGAAATATATAAATCTGTTCTAACCATGTCATGAATGGCACCATGCTCGCACCTGCTAGCGCTGAGTGACTATATATATATATATACATGTGTGGTTTTTAGCACCTTTACTCCTCCGAGCCTATTGGGCCAACCTCGACCAAATTTTGTATGTAAATACTATGAACTATGGGGAATATCCTAATGGAGTCAAAATTGAACTTAATCCTATTTCTATTTTGTAAAGCCTATTGGTTAATTGTTCCCAGCCTATTGTTGTTGTTTGTAATTAAGCACAAGGCTACACAAAGGGCTATCTGTGCTCTGCCCACCACGGGTATCGAAACCCGGTTTCTAGTAGTATAAGTCCGCAGACATACCACTGTGCCATTGGGGGGGGGGGGGCAGCCTATTGAGTCAATCTCAAACAATCTTGGCAGGTTGACGCTTTAGACCATGTTGAATATTCTAAATGGATTCAAGGTCAAATTAAAAACGTTGCTGGATTGTTCCTCAAACAACCATGTTTTCCTCATGGTCAATAAGATGTAGGGTGTTCAAGAGTGGGATCACCTCAAAATCTTTATTTGTTGATAGATGGAAAGGAAACTGTAAATGTTGTTTATGAAGAAGCTATGTTATAATTTTAAAATTATTAAAGTTATTACTTTGAAGTATATGATTTTTATTAACCTTACATTGTTTTAATTAAGGTTAAACAGTCCCCATCATTTGACAAGTATTTGAGCTCGTAAAATATATAAATCGTCCACATAAACTGGAATTGACCTTATATACACGCTCTTGTCAAAAATGTTAAGGCCAGTGCTTGTAACGTTGCTCACCCACCACTCTATACGGGAATTCAAGGAGTGTAAACATAAAAACACACGAGCTAGGTAGATTAGAAGTTACAAAGTACATCAAGATCCCAAACCTTTATAAATTCGTGAATCTGAAATTTTTGGAAATCGTTTACGAATGCTTTTTATGAATGTGGCTACATTGTAAAAACTGGGTGAACAGACTGTACATGTATTTTACCCCTGAATCTCCTCGGCAATGCTTTGACTAACATAAGGCTCATCAGCAATAGAATCTTGACGATTTCAAAGTAATGACTGAATATGGATTTCGGGTCAAACAGGTGACCAATTCGACTATCACTATGACTGTTTTGTCATCTGTAAAAGATTATGGCGGGAGTATTAAAGTGAGACAAACATTATGTGCATTATCTTTTGAATTTACATGTGAAATTACTGTTTGTTTTAATGGACATGTACATAAATAGATCTCAAATTACGGAATTCCAGTGATCATTGCGAGGTTATTTGATCAGCAGGTCAACGTGCTGTTCCAAAAAATAATTGTTTATACCAAAAAGTACGTACAACTAATGGCTGGTTTCAAGTAAACAATATTGAGTCTTGAAATAACCCACACTACAGATATTAACCCTACATAACACCTTTGAGACCATCTGCAGGGTTTAATTTAAAAGCTTAAACTACAAGCTCCCAATTTTCATCAACTGTCTAAAACAACAATGGAGAAAAATTTCACCAAATGCATGTAGAATCTAGGTGGGAACGTGTGTTGCAGAATAGTAGTTGTTATTTAGAAAGGACTGTGTTACAACTAGTAAGGACAATGATCACTAAAACCTGTAGCTACATGGCTAGATCATTTGGCTGGGCAGTCTTATATATTCAACTTAAGGACCGTACTACGACAAACAAGGACAGAGATCACTATAATCCTGTAACTACAAAGCCAGATCCTTTGACAGGCCAGTCTCTATGTACATCGTGTTAGAGAAGGGTGCAGTTGATATTCACATTAAGGTCTGTACTACAACAAATAAGGATAGTGGTCATTAGAACCCTATAACTACATAGCTATATCCTTTGAGTGGGTAGATTGTATGCACATGTTGATAGAGAAGTATACAGTAGATATTCAGATTAAGGACTGTATTACGACATATAAGGATAGAGATCACTAGAATCCTGTAACTACATAGTCAAATCCTCTGGCTGGGCAGTCTCCATTTGGAGAAAGAGAATGACAGATATCTATTAAAAGGATGTAAATGAATATAAACCTTCAGTATTCAACACTTCAGATATTTTTATATCAGGTCGTCAAGAAATTAATGTCGTGTTTTGGAACACTTTTATTAACTACCCCCCCCCCACAAAACGTACATCAAGTATAATAGTTAAATGAACTGCCTAAACGTCACGTTAGTGTAGCCTATATAATGTGTAAAGCTTAGTATACTCTAATCGCTAATAGTGATGAGACACACATTCGGCATGCAATGCTGT